AGCGTAAGCCCACATAAAGCACTCAGAGCAGCAGAACGGGGGAGGGGGACTGGAGCTGGGACTGGGACTGGGGCCGGCCTGCATTTAACAATTTATCTGCAGCTGTCAAAATTAAAACCCCATACGGCTGTGGGGCTGTGTGGCTGTGGGGCTGGTTGAGGCTTCAAAGCCATAACCGTTGCCCGGGAGGGGACATGGGGGACAAGGGGGCCAGGGGGACGGAACAGCGTTGGTGCAGCGAACCACGACGAGTCAATACCCGTGGCAATCCGTGGGTAGCATTCACCCAGGACACAGCCCAGTCGCAAGTCAGCTGCAGGCGGCATTGGATTTGAAAAAATAAAACCAGAACAGGATCCGAACAGACCAAGAAAGAGGCAGTGGCAAGAAGAAAAGTGCAGCACGGCCCAAGGGGGTCACACAATAATGCCGGTCACAGGATAAGCAACCAGGAGCACCAGCTTCAGTGCCATACACAGGACTCTCTCTCACTCAGGACCCAGCGGCAGTGGCAGCGGCGGAATCGGACCGAGTTGGACAGGAGACAGAACCCAGAGGCAGACAGACAGTCAATAGCAGGGGCGTGGCATGGGGGGCGGGGGGAATGGGGACCGGCCCTGGTTCTGACTGTAAAAAACGGAAATGGGGCAATCATAAATTTACACAGATATGCAAGTGCCCTGGCCCCGGTCGGGCTTTCGCTGTGTGTGTGTGTGTGGCCGCGCCTTCGCCCCCCGCCCCCCCCACAACCCGCAAACAGGCGCTGCAACTACAACAAACAAACAGACCAAACAGAGCCGAACAGACAAAACAACAAAAATTACAAGAAATCAAAGAAAAATCAGCAACGAGCACGAATTCGGGAGTACCCTAAAAGGGGGCCAAGGAAATCCTTTAAAGTGTCCTTTAAAGTCCTACGAATTATTGGGGAATTTTGTTGAGGTCTATTTATGTGTTATGGCATATTTAAACTTCCTATTTAAAGATTAGAACTTTCTGAAATGTATATAACCCTTGAGGAGGGCAGCTGTTCCAAATACAAAATCTCTTGGAATTGCAAACCAAACCCTGAGGCTTCGATCTGAGATGCTCGCGTGAGTCCATCTATGGGTAAAATGCTTAAAAAGGAATACATTTTGGTCACTAAAACAAAAAGAATACATATTTATTCGCCTCCCCAGGAAAAGTGTTCGGCAAAAGGTCTAAGAAAAGTTTCGTAAAAACCTAGTTTGAAGGGGGAATCGATCAACATTAAAACGTACATATATCGATTGTTTTTCCATGGATATAAATATACCAAAAATACATACAATTTTATAGATTTTAGTTCCAAATTTCTTTAAGACCTACGCCTTCTTTAAGCACAAAATTATGTAATACCTAGAGCCATAAAGGCCATACCTTAGACATAAATATTTATGATACGATATTCGCCTTCTCAGGTCTAGGCCTTTGCCCCTTGGAATTCCCAAATATCTCTGCAGTAGCCAAGTATTTCACGAATGCACCTCCAATGCTCTGAGATTCGGCTTCTCATACAATTCCGCTGCCAAATGGCTCCAAAGTTTATGTGTGTGTGTGGCCTTCTCTGTGTGTGTGTGTGTGGGTGGTGCATCCATGAGAACGACTTCGATTTAATGCGAATGCGATGCGTTGTCCGATGCCTGCCTCTGAATGGATTTGCCTTCGCCAATCCCTGGCCCCATTCCGCTGCCCTTTTCCTCTTCCCTTTCCTTTACCATCCATCCATTACGTTCTTTTTTCTTCTTTTTTTTTCGCTCTGGGTTCGCTGAGCTGAGATTTGTGGTGCGGTGCAAATAGATTTCTAGCGTAGAACATAAATAATACTCACACACACACACAGGCGCACCCACACACCCACACACCCATAGACATTGGCCTTTTAAATGCGAGTATCTGTGTGAATGCGAATGTGAGTGGCAGTAGTTGATCCTCTTCCTTTGCTGGCGTGGGAGACAGGCAAAAAAGAGCACAACCAAAACACACACACACAAAAAAACCGTAAAAAGAAAAGAGTGCCAGGCAGAGAAGGCTGTGGGCCTTTGGAGGGTTACTTGGATACCCTCAAATATCCATAGGTTCTAGATATAATATTTCCATTTGAAGGGGTGGCTTCTCATGGCAGCAACAAGGGTTTCTTGGAGGCCTCTTTCCGATTAATATCTGAAATAAATTCTATGAAAATGATTAGAATTATATTAATGCCATTTTCGTGAAATATCCTTGGAATCAAACAAGTTTCTCTTGCAAAGATCTGTACTACGACTGAACCCTGAGCGATTTATAGCCACAGCCAGAATCTTTCGGGGCTTCCTTTGCTCCAGCGCTAACCCCCTGCTCACTCGCTTCGTCGTTTATAGAAGAGACTCCCTTACTTTATAGAACTTTTCGCCTCTGTGTTGATCTTCTAATCCAATCCTTAATACCCTCGGAAAGCGTATAAAAAGGAAGAAAATTCTGAAATCAAAATCAAAGTGTTTGCATTTGTGAAAATCGCACACAAAGGCAGGCAGTTCTCCATCGAGAACTATGGAGAGGCCGAGAGAGAGAGTATGGAGTATGGTGTATGGATGGAGCTGCATTTAAGGCGTAGCTGTGGGCGTGCCAGGGTCTGCTCTTGCCTGGCCTGGCTTTGCATGCAAATTTTCCAGCTCTGGCAAAACGTTTGACATTTGCCTTTGCCCTGTCTCCCTGGGAGATAATGTGGCCTCAGTGTGTCTCTGTCGCCCAGAGATCTGCACTCAGTTTTTGTCAGGCATTCTTTTTGTGTACCCGTGCCCCCGGTACCCTCCTCCCCTCCTCCTGGCTGTGCTGTCGCATATTTCTGCGAGTTGGGTTGGTCCTCGGTCCCCGGTCCCCGGTCCTGGCATAATGATGGGCATGGCTTGTTTTTGCCATCCTGCATTCTTCATCCTCTGCCTCTGCCGTTTGATTTGTATTTGCATATCGCCTGGCCACATTCTTGCCTCGTCCTGGACGTCCTCTGGCACTGCTCTGGCTCTGCAATTTATGCAGCTCGGCATTTTCGGGGGGGGGGGGGGGGGGGGGGGGGGGGGGGGAGAACTACAATTTGGGCTTCATTAGGGACTGGCCCAGGTGTAATTAGTACCTGAAGCGTGCTCATATTTGTTTGGCCCGACTCAGCCCTGGAAGCCGTGGAAGGGGCATGCCTCTTGGTTTAGGCTCCGTTTGCCCCACCATTTGCCGGGCCAACTGAAACTGAAAATGAGCCAGGGCATTTGACTTTTGAGAGTGTAACTTTACTGTTCACACACTCCTCCCTGCCTCCCCCCCCTCCTCCCACAATCGATATCTATAGGGTTTCAGGCTTATGCTGGGGGGCCCCTCCTGGCACTTGAGGCAAGTACATATTTCCTGGTCTGGCTTTAGATTGTTTGAAGATCTCATAACAAGTTGTGGACTCCAGTCAGCTGGAAATTCCCAAAAGTGTTAAAAACTCTTCACAGGAACAGACACGGTCCTGGCCTGGCTTTCATCTACAGCTCTCGGTAATCCCCAAGTGCTGCTGAACATGGGAATAACACACGTAATGCATATTTAAACATTTGCTGATGGCAAATGACACACAAAGGTGGAGAAGGAGGAGTCGGACTCGGAATCGGAATCGAGTCGAGGCCCGTGGAAAACAATGACGGGCCCTCCCCCCCCTGGTTCGGGGGCAGAGACGGACAAATGTTTGGCCAACTTAAACCTTAATCAATGCAAAAGTTTTTGGCCTAATCGCTCTCAATTATTCAAGTGAAACGTGGCATTTAACAACTACGTGAGTGGGAGAGTGGGGGAGAGCGGGGGGTGTGGGGGAGAGTCCTTAACGAGGCATAACTTTCGCCCGTAAGTATAATTTACCTAACCAATGTCTGGGCTACTCTCAGCCAATCTCCGGATCCCCACAGCCCACGGCCCAAGGCTCAAGTAGAGCCACCGAAACCCCGAGTTGGCGGCCTGTTAAGTGCCACACACACACACACACACACACACACACACACACGCCACCAGTTGGCAGGGTTAATAATAATGATATTTAAGCCGAGTGGGCATCGCATCGCACAGCTCTCCCTCCCTCCCTCCAGCAATGAAAGGACAAAGTTGCCAACGGAAACGGAAGCAACTACACAGAGTCCTTCCCATTCTCTGCGCTCTCTCTCTCTGCGTGTGTGTGTGTGTGTGTGTGTGTGTGCCTTTTGTAACCAAAGTCCTACGAGTACTACCTGGTGGTAACTGGAATTGCTAAAAAACTATTCGCCCACACACACACGCGCAAAAATATTGTGCCCTTCTGTATGTGGAAAATTGAAAATGTTCCCAACTTTATGGCCGAAAAGAGTGACTTTTGGCGGCGAATCTCCTCATACCCTTTTGCCTTACCAACAAAATAGTCACTCACTAAATTGAGTAGAATTTGAGAGCTAGAATACCCTCTGAAAGGGTATGAATACGGAGAGGGGATGCAGTCAGGGGGTACACATGTATCTGTAGGATAATTCCATTGCCTCCCCCCCACATAAGCCCTTTCAGGTGGGCCGGGCCGGGCCCGATGAAAAGTCAGGAAGTAAAGTTTTACGGTTCACATAAAAGCTGAAATGTTCATACAATCAGCATGAATAATAACTCGGATGTGGATTAATACTTGCTCCAAGTGTGTGTTGAGTGTGTGCAGGCCTTCGAGCCTTCAAGCCTTCCGATTTTGTGGCTAAATCTGTAACGCTTGGTCTCCCCCTTCACAAAAGTTTGAGAGTTTTCCCGCTTTTAATTTTTTCTGTAATTAAAAAAAACAACAGATTTTCGACAAAAACAAAGCAGTCTTTGCTTTGTGTCCTGCCAAAAATATTTATTTCCTATTTGAAAACAAAGCAGCCTTTGCTTTGTGTCCTGCCAAAAGTATATGTTTTCGTAGTTCATTTAAAGTCAACTCTTTGAACGGAAAACAAGTAAAATAATAATTTTTGTTTCAAATGGAAAAAATTCGAATAAAAGTGAACGCGTTTCACCACCACCTGCATGCGTATGCCTTCACCGAAGGCCAATTAGAAATGACACAAAATTTCACGAAATTTAAGAATATATATTGCAAAGAATTGGATTTGCCGTTGATCATGTTGAAATTTTTATTTAATGGACAGTACATCGGCGATACGGAGACCCCCAGCGACTTGGGCATGGAAGAAGGCGACCAAATCGATATATACACGGCGAAGGAAGGTCCTGGTGTATCGGAGTTCATCGAAAACCAATTCAGTAAGTTGCACAAACAATTGCTACTCGAAAAAGACAAATTTTGAAAGAGCAAATACCCCACAGAAAAATTCCTGATTCAAAAATGCCGCCCATTCAATTCTCAGGGAGTGTGGTAACTCTACAACAGAAACAAAAAGCCTCGAATTTGGCAATAATAAAAGAATTAATACCTTTTTGTTCATCAGGAAGTCAAATGGTTAGAACGGCAGACTAGGCGGAAGACAATTGGCTTGGCAGACAAAAAAAAGACGCGATGATGGCAAACTCTACTCCACTCTACTCTTCTTCAAGGCGGCAACTCTACTCCACTCTACTCTTCTTCAAGGCGGCAACTCTACTCCACTCTACTCTTCCTCAAGGCGGCAACTCTACTCCACTCTACTCTTCCTCAAGGCGGCAACTCTACAGACTCTCCTCTACACGAAACTGGAGGACCCTGCTCTCACATAGATCATTAAATCGTTAAATTGTTCAACATTTTATGTAGTTTCTATCTAGCTCTAAGGGCACCCCCTCCACCACCCCGTAAAACCAGAAGATGCCACCTCCTGTCCAAGCTCATAAATTAGAAAAAAATTGCGTTGACACCAGCAGGGAAATGCGAGGTGGGGGGGGGGTCGGGAAATGGTAAGGAATTTGGCATCAGCAAATATTTGCAGCACGTTTTTCGTTTACATATCAACTTGACAACTTTTGCATTACGATTAAGATGTACAGCCGGAGAGGACCGGAGAACAACGTTATCAACACCTATCTGAAGAGGGGGAAGGCATCCCCCCTGGTCCCATCCCCCCCTGGTCCCATCTCGTCCCGAAATCCTGGGTCTGGGGCGAGATTTATGTGTTTTGCTTGGCTGACATTCTGTTCCGTGTGCCATCGTGGCCTGCTTGTGCGACAATAAAACAAAACAGAACAAAAGTTCCGATTAGATGGAAGAGAATAGTTATGACTTAAGGGGGCAGAGGGGGCAAGGGGGCTACGATTTGGGTGCCACACTCACCCATCGAATGCCAAATATTTTGACGTATTTCAGCAACGGCCACGACTGGCTATTATGGCCACAAACGGTGGAATAACAAGCGAATGGTTCCGGGCTGGGGCTGCCCTCTACACGTCTTGTATCCTTTTTGTGTCCTTGCCTTCGATACCTTTGGAAGACGTATATTTATGAGCGGCATTCGCGAGGACTGGAGAGTGCGTAGGAATTTTGCTTTTCGTTCGTTAAGATTTACGACACACAGCCAGCCAGCCAGAGAGCACGTCCTGGGCACGTCGCTGACTTTAGAAATTAATTGGCCTCAACTAAGAAATTCGAGAGTGAGCGTCGTGCTCATAAGTCCTGCCATCGTCCTGAGATGCGGTTTTTTCCCATGCTCCTTGCTACTGCTCTGGCTCCTGCAGACAAAATTAATTTGTTATCCTCGCTTGTTTAACGCAGCTATAAATTATGATGCCAAAGTTTTTGGCCACTCAAAGAGGAGGAGCCTTCGCCGGCCACGGGGGGACAGGGGGGGACGAGACTTTTCAACGTGGCCAGCAACGTTGCCTTGGCAATTATTAGCTTTTGTTACGCACACTTTATCACTGGCCATGTCGATATGGGGGGGTCCTGCCAGCCGTCCTACCCTCCACTCTCTCTCCCTTTCGATATATATGGGCCGCGTAATTGGTGGGCACGTTAATCAACACTGGAGTGTGAGGCAGGGTCTCTTCTCTGGTCTCTTTGGCCAATTAGAGACCATGGGCAGGGGGCCTTGGCCTGGGCAACGCCTCGAAGATGGATGCTGATGAGCCTGCGCTGATGCCTTGATGCCCAACGGCCCGAACATAAATCCTGGTCGGAAGCCACTATTAGCGTGGTGTTTAGTAAGCCTCCAGCTTGATGGCCTTTGATTAGCTTCGATATGGGGGGGAAGCTAGCCATAAATTAGCACGGCTCTTTGTTTTAAAGGTAAGCCGGGATTCACAGGGAAAACATCAACAAAGTTGGGTTTAAAGGTGGAAAAGAACTACAAGCAAGGGTCTACGATTTAAGGGAGTTAAAACCCAACCAAATAAAGGTAGAATCCCCCTCCAGGAAGAGGCTTCTGCCCCGCTGCAGACCAAGTCCTCCTCCTGGAACCATTTAATCCCTTTCCTGCCACGCAATATTCCACAGCAGATTGTACAGGATCAGGTACTGGGTACTGGGTTCTGGGCGCGATATTGCTGATTTTCCACTTGATTGCTTCAACTTATCCAGCGCTCGTTTTAAAAAACAGATTAAATTTCCCCCCCCAGTCCCCCGCACCAACCGCCTCCCCTGTTAACCGTTGGCATCGTTGTCGCCTTGTTAATTAAACGTGGCACACACACACACACCGGCAGGGGAGGGGGGGGGGGAGGGGGCGCGGGACGCTCTGGCTCTGTGGATGCGATGCGGCATTGCGCCTCGATTGCGATTGACACAATAAATTGTCAATTACAGTGCAATTACGTATGGAAATCGCTGGCGTTCCCGCAGGGTCTGGTGCGGGGGGCTACGAGGGGTGGCGGGGAGGGGACTTCCAGCAGTCGCCGCTTGATTAAATCGATAAAAATCGAGTCGCATTTTAAACGCTGTTACGCTGCACACAATAGAAACGTGCAAATATTGTCGAGTCCCAACGAGAGATATGAGCGGTGTGTGGGGGGTGTGGGGGGTGGAGTGGAGTGGGGGTTTCTGGGGGGGTTTAAAAACGGTCAAACGTTATCAACACATAAACGAGAAATTCGGTCAACATGACATCGTTGTGGGGGTTTCCCCCCCCCTTTTTTCCGGTGGTTTTTTTTGCCGCAGGGCAGGCATCAGTGGACGGCAGAGTGGAGATGCAGATACGAGGTTTTTTTCCCCCGATAATTACTACAGAAGATAGAGAAAAAGCTGAATTGTGTGGGAAAACTATGGACTGTTGAGCTCTGAGCGGAAGAAGGGTCTTCTACCGATTTGTTTGTGATACAAAAAAAGGAGCTCAAGCACATCCTGCCATCAGTAGATACTCCTCCAAAACATACCTCCATGGATGGGTCTATCGATGGCAGACTTAATCAAATAAACTCCATGGAATAGCCCGAACATGTGTCTCCAGGCCACGCAATGTGTCATGTGGCCCACTCGCCACGCCCCCCTCCGCCCCTGGCGTGCGGGTGTGTCTGTGTTTCCGTTTCCGCTTCGCTAATAGAGTTAGTTACACATACCGCTAACTGCAACAGCAATGGGCGGGAAAAATGCTGCTGTGAGCCACGAGAAGCTGGCAGTAACCGAAAATTGCCAAAAACTGGTAGGGGAACAGGTGCTGGTTGGCCCCCTCCAAAAACCGAAAATGGGAACCAAACTGGGAGCTGGAACTGGTGTCGGTCTGTGTCGTAGTCAATGGCAGCCACTGGTGGCCACTGTCACCATTGGTGGGCCCCCCTCCCCCCCTCTAACCCCCTTCTGTGTTCTGGCCAGGCTGTTTGCCTTTCTTTTCCTGTCGTTTTCAGCCCCTACTCGTACAAAGTTGTTGCTGCTGCTGCGTCGTTCTGTGAACATTTAACTATTTTTGCAATGGCGTTAATTGGAAATGGCAATTTCATGCGCCTCCCAAACGTCGATGGGGGGTTCGTTGCAGCCTCCAATTCATGGTCTCCCTTTCATTCTCTCTCTCTCTCTCTCTCCTTTGGCCTCTCGCTTTAATTTGTCGTCTGGTGCGAGTTTTGGTACCCTTTTCGAACAGGGAAGCTTCAAAAACAAGGATTGCGGGTAAGACTTGTTTATAGGCTTATTGAAACACGAATAAAACCGGCTGGAAATGAAAGTGTAGGGTATCTAAGGAATCGCCTGCCAGGCTTCTGTTGTTTTCATTGTCTTTTTTTGGCTGTTGCTCGTGACGTTTTTTATTTTAGGGGATTTTTTTCCGATGGCACACATTCCCAGCAGCCGTTCGATCGGTTGGCGAATGAATATAAGCCATTCTAAACATTTTTAGTTGATTGAAAAATTGTGCAGTTGGCTGGCAAAACGCACCAGTAGTACGAGTATCTGTGTGTCTCTATGTATGGGTTATAAGCCGCATTTAATGCAGGGAAAAGTGGTCTGCCTTCAGATATTCGGGCACCTATGAGAGCCCCCAATGGTTGTATCTTCCTTCCGTGGAGTGTGCTTTAAACACAATGCTCTGGCTCTGGCTCTTGCCCTCGTGTCAGACACAAAACTAATTAGAATCCCAGCCCCAGGGGTAGTTGTCTGCAACTGCTATCTATAATGAAATATGAAATACATATATATATACATATATATAATTATGGCAGCCAACTAATTAAAAAACTACGCTGGCAAAAATATTTTCGTGTTTTTAGCAAAACAAAAAAAAAGAATAAAAATTAAATTAGAAACGTAAATTGAATTTTGCAGACGAGGCGAAAAAAAAACACAAAGTGAAAAATGAATAATGACTTTGACAAAGTGTTGGGTGGGGTGGTAGGGCCGTGCGGGGGGCGTGGGGGGGCGGATAGGTGTGATCCTTAATGCTGTTAAGCAAATCCAAAGGATGCCACACACATGGCTGTGTGTGTGTGTGTGTGCACCAAAGGGCGGGGGCGAAAGAAAATGCAATTTGGAAATTGAAAACGTTTCCCCCCTCCTCACTTTTTGCTGTTTAACTTTTGCACAGGCGGCACCTCCCCAGAACTCATTTGCATGCGATTTGCTATAATTGAATTTCGCCAAAGGCGGCAGCAAAAACCTCCCCCCCCCCCCCCCTCTCTGTGTGTAGTTCTAGTTTCTGGCTAGCCTTCAGAAAGTTTTCCCTTCCCTTTTGGGCCAAGACAAATGTGCGTAAACAGTCACCAGAGGGGGAGGGGGGGACAGGGTGGGGGTGGGGAAATGAGCTTGGTGGCAGGACTGTGTCACTGGCTGATAACGTTTAATGGATTGCCCGGGCAGACGTCTCCTCGAGTGGGCTTTGAATCGGCTCTGGGCTTTGGCCCTGCCCTGCTTTGGGGGGCGGGGGCGGGGCCGGGGGCAAGGGCAATGTTTGCTTTTTGTTTACTTTTTCTTGCCGCCTAGGCCGCCCGGCAATGAAGACATTCAAATATTAATGTGTTGCATAAATCACAAGTCTTTAAAACCACTTCTTAAAAATCCATTTCTCGAAAACAAATTCCACTGAAAAACGCCTTAAATTTCATAGGTTTTTGGGTATATTTTAAGGAATTATTTACCAAATTATTTTGCATAATTTTTAACCTTTTTGGTAGTAGTAAATTCTATCTGGAATCTGCAAGAGTTCTGGGTTAACCTTTTCCCGGAACGCCCCCTCAATCGAGTCTCTCTTTCACTCGAAAACGAATTCCACTGAAAATCGTCTGAAAATTCATTGATTTTTTTTTATATTTTAAGGAATTTCAAGGGTTTATTTAGAAATATTTTCATTTACCGAAGAACGATGTGTTAAAGCATTATTTCTGAATTTTTTAAA